CAGCGGGCTTGTGACGTGCCCTGGGCAACTTTTGTATTTGTAGCAGCTCAGCTCCGCTCACCCCTTGAAAATGACTAATTATCAGACTGTGACCCTCTTAGCAGGAAGACCTTCTTTCTTGAGACTCCCTTCCCATCATTCAGCCTTTGTTTGGCTCCTCCCCTTCTTCAGTTCCCATCGACTGACCCACAAACCCAGTTTGGTAGCAAGTTCTCTATGAAGATTAGGTGTGTGGGAAAAAAGGAGAACATGACCAGAGCAGTTCCTGTGAGAATGTTCTCTCAGTATAAGAATGTAAAGAAACTGAGTACACTGAGTACTACTACAGTGTTATGCAGTATTGTGAAAAGAATAAGGTCAGAGTCTGGAGCTGAATATATGATATTTTTAACATTTTTCTTCGGTTTGGTCTAAAGAAAAGAAAGTTGTCAGTGAGCATATTTAAAAAAAAAGTTTCAGATATTAAATTCTAAAATTATCTAAATTCAACAAATACAATTGTAATTTGGTGAAATATTTGTCCTTCTGTCAGTTAAGAGACAGAAGGACTGCAGCTGCATTCCGACCCAGAAGGCCGGAGCATATTGAGATTTATTTTATTGGGAGTTCACTTTTTTATTTCATTAACACAACCTTGACACACACTACAGTATAATAAACACACAAATGCAAATCCTGACCTTTTTGAGATGAGCCCACTTCATGATTGCGTTTCCATATTGGATTCTGCCGTGCAGGGAGTTCTGTGCTCCACGTTCAGGGTTCATGTGTAAATTCCCTCAACTCTGCATCCTGCAGTTTTGCTTGTACACTATCAAAGTTTAATAAGCCTTTGGTGCAATTAGATGAGCTCCGGGCCGCAGCTTTACCTTCACCCTCTGCCGTCCATTAAACAACCGTACATACACACACAGTCTACCCTCACTAAATATTCATGGTCCACTTCGCTGTGAAACAAGTTGGTCTCTGCACACCACACCAACGCCTCATAAACAGGACAAACTGCAAATGACCCTTAAACGTCAGTCCTGCGTCATCTGTACTTCCTTCAACTCATGTTGATTGATTTAAAACTGACCCAAAGGAACAGCTTGATTCCTACCCTAATATTGACTTAAGAATATATAAATAATATAAATATCTTATTTTTTGAAAAAAAAAATGGCTCTAATACACCATGAGATGTCGTTGAGGTTTGAATTAGCGACAGATTTTCCTCATTTTACGGTATTTCATGTCAAAAGCTCAGTCATTAAACGGTTACTTCAGGGTAATCGGAACCAAAATGAATCATTACTGCTGCTATTTGTATCAGGGAGGTAATTTCACCAGTGTGTCGGTCTGTTTACGGCTGTCTTGACTAAAACTACAGTCACAGATCCTGAATTATAGCCTAAAATAAATTATTATTATTAACATGAAAAACTCAATATTAAAGGGTTTATTTTGGTATAAAGAGTGTTTTATCATATGGGCAGTAGAAAAGTGTGTCATAACCCACTTTTCTCAACAAGGTACGGAATTTAAAAGTACATTTTAAGAACCGTGCCTTTAATATTATTTATATTAATAGGGACATTTTGAGTAGTAGAAATTATTATCCTTCTAATTTGAGTCCTTGGAATGTAAAGACTTAAAGACTAATTTTTTTAGGTATAAACATGCTTTGTTGGGTTAGCTAAAACTGCACAAAAAAGAAATAAAAGGTCATTTTTTTTCAGTTTATTTCTGTACATTTTATTTAAAATATAACTTGTTGATTTCCATCATTGCTAAAACGGTATTCACATCAGCACACATTACAGTATATGGATCCTTCTCTGCTTTGCAAAGACTATGTAGCATGGAATGCTATATAGCCGCACATGTTGCTGCCCTCAGTGGTCTTTTCATACACTTAACCAATAAACAAATCCATTAATGAATCAGAGACGTGGATGTCAGGAAGCCCACCTGTCGTCATGTGCTAACAGGGTTGTGCAGAGAACAGTTGTCTGGTTTGAAACTCCTGTGTCAGATTCCAGATGTGAAGCTGCCCACCGTCTGCTGACACACTGCGATTCTCTGACCTTTCTGCCTTTACTTTATCTCATCTTTTCATTCTTCTCCTTTCTTCCTCTTCTGGCATATTTGTCTGCGTCACAATTGTTCATTGTCTTTGTCATTGTGTGGAATTCTATAAAGTGCTTCCTGACCGTTCTACCCAGCTGCTCAGTCCTTAAATCTGCCACAACAGATTCTATATAAAATACTGACTCTTTAAATTAAATGCATTTTTTTTTCATGAGCTGTCCAAAATAAGTTTATTCCTGACGGCCGATGTACGGCTGACAGCTTTGGAATAATCTGCTAAGACTGTAGGCTGACAAACTAGATGGGATTTCAAATCATTTTCTGACAACTTAATGACATTCTCCATTTTCTTTTCATTATTTCACTATACATTTTGATGTTTGATGCAATTTATTTCTTCCTAAAGATGAATTTCTTGAGTAAATCTCCATCATTATCAGCACAAATCTTAATATATATTGGATTAAATCAATTAAATGGCGTATTTTCCTGGAAGTACACACTCATATGTTCCTTAATCTTTACCCTGTGAAAAGGTGCCCTCGTTCCCAGGACCACTGGGTGGTCTCTCAGGGAGAGATATAGATTAGAGGAGGAAGGAAGAGATTAAAAACTTGGACTTCCTGGGACATTAGGGAAGAAAAATATTAGCTGACATGTCTTATCTTTCTGCTTTTGCATTTGTTTTCACATGTCCTTTTCACTCATTTCCATTAGACAATTTGTTGGCGGCGATCTTTGGAAGCCGTCCCAGGTGCATGTGTGCAACATGTTCTTATTGCAATAAAAAAAAAAAAAATCTGCTCAACAATTCCTCACTCCACTGTGGGCGTGCTGCGGAAAAGGAGGTTAGGTAGAGAAAGTTGGACTAAGATTTATATGGGTGGATGTTTGTGAAGAGGTGCGGGGAGGAATAATGAGAGGGAGGGAGAGAGAGAGCGGTGGGGGGGGAGGGACGCGGCTGTGGAAGGAGAGGCAGCGGAATGTGTGAAAAGACCAAGGCAGACATGTCAGCGAACAAATTGAAAATGCCAATTTCACTTTAGCCCCCACCTGCTCAGGCACTTATAGCTGGGCTACAGCCTCTTATTTCATGTGTAAATGAATGGTGTCCACAGAGAAGCACACAATCACCTCTCTCTGTCCACCCAGACCTTTCTATTCCTCCTTCAGCCCCTGCTGCCTGATCATCCTCCCTCTCTCTCTCCCTCCTCATTCTTCACCTCTGTTTTTCATCCATGTTTTCACAATCCCTCTCTCTCCATAAGAACCTGTGCTCCACTCTCTGGACTCACCTTATCTCAGTGTTTTTGTTTTTTTTTACCCATCATCCATCAGTGTGTTTTTCTATACTTTATCCATCACCAGTTACTTCCTGTCTCCCGTCTCTCGCCTCCTCCCCTCCAACATCACTCATTCAATTCCGCCTGTGACCTGATGAAATCTACGAGGGATGAAAGTTTGCTCTACAGTACTGCGCGTCTGCTGAATAAATCAAAGGACCAAACTACGCCCAAAGACACGTTTTAAACGTCAGTCCCCTGAACATGAATTTGCGGCGCCCGGGTAGCAGTGTTTCTGAGGTCCACTGAGATGTACTCCATTATTTGGATGTCAGCGGTTCTGCCTTCGGGGCTCACCAAATGCAAATCAACCAATTGCAAAAGTAAAGAATGAATTAATCAGCGGCTCTCACGTTGGTGACATTGGTGCGGCGTCCTCTCATTTTCTTATCTTCTGTGTGCACGCGTGTCTCAGCCCTTCTCCCTCAAATACATTCAAATTCACCGTTATTACGGATGTGGTGATAAAGCTCACGTCATTACACGGCAGAAGAAGACGTGGACACCACGCTGAGGTTGTAGCATGATTACATCTGTGAGGGTGGTGCAGCCAGGACTTTTATTTTGAATTGTGTCACCACTCCACCTCAAGAGATTGGACTGTAGGTTTCACCCTGAGGGCAGTAATGACCGACCGTGGTGGTGGTAGCAGTAGGGGGCAGTAGGTCAACGTGATCTTTATTTTTACCAATTATCCTCACATCAGTACCACAGTGCCCCCAGTGGACTAGTACCAATTTAAGCACATATTCAATTTGTATGTCCCCATTCATCTTTAAAAATGTAGATAAGAAGCTGAGTTAAATCTCGAGAGAGCGTGAGAATCTCAGAGGGCGTGGCGTTCCTGATGAATGATTCTTTTTTTTTAGCCAATTGTGTGTTTATTTCTCCGCTTTGTTTATGCCAGAATGGAACAAGGGAGGCATTATAGCGTTTTACAGCTGCTTTTTATTTGCTGGTGATAATCGCTGCTGATAATTTATTTCCTTTGATGTCAGGAGGCGTCTCTCTCTCTCCGGAGCTCTTCTTCCCCTCGTACTCTCCTCCGCTAGCTCACTGCCGTCGCGGCGGCTCTTTTGAAGCTTGTTGTCTCATTTGAAGCAATTTCACAAAAGTGATTACGTCGATGACGAGTCAATTACATTTCATCTCCTATTAGTTCAGGATGCAACAATGAAATTAGATGAGAATATTATTGTTGAAGATATATTACACTTTTCATTCATCACCGGAATGGAGTGAGTCGCACACTGATGGGGATTTCCAATCTCTTAATCAAGTCTGTGCTAAGGCAGGCGGCGGCGGATATGCTGAGTGTTAAAATCACAATATAGCTTGTCTCCCATCATTCACTTTTATGGCCCTTCAACTGTATGAGCTCCGCGGGCAGTGACATTACTGCCAACACTGAGTGAACTGAGCGTGCCCCCGGTATTTTTTTTTTTTGACACATTGATTTATTTCCATTTTTCATCGAAAGGCTAACATCATGCTTTTTATGTAATATTGATGAACTGAAAATACTGTTCAAACATGGAACTAGGAGTCTGGAGATGCTGATCTGTGTTTGTTGTCATATTACAGTACACCTACGAGGGCAATGACATCAGTGACCTGCCGGTGGACCTGTCTGTGGTTTGGAACGGGAACTTTGTCATCGACAACCCCTACAACGCCCCCGGTATGTTCACGTTGTGAATGTTAGTGTGAATGGTTGTTGATGTACGTGGGTGAACCTGCTGTTAAAGATTCAAAATACATACAAGGCATTTTTAAGTTACTTATTTAAAAAAAATCTTCATAATAATCACTTTAATTCAGCAGCAGCGACAAAAACATTTGTGATTTACATCATTATATGAGTGTTATAAAGAAGGTCAAAAAGTGAAATATAAATATTTTAATATCTTGAATAAATGAATAATTTCTGTTACTACATGAACACTTTTTACAAACCTCACGACAGCTTTATATAGGAAAATAAATACAATAATTATGCAACATGTATTTTAAAAAAAACATCACTCAACTAAAGTGTAGTTATTAGTAAATTTTTTTTACGGTTCCTCCACTGATTTGAGTCCATCATTTGACTGGATTATATGTTTGAAATAATACCCAGGACTCCCCTTCAAAGCGACCCATAGGGTTAACAGTTAAACATACACAGCATCAATGCAGCACTGTGTGAGGAGACAATGAGATCACGTCTGTTGGATGTAATTACTGCTAGGACAGCGTCGACGCTGCTGTGTCCATAATTACTGTGACCTGTACAGTGAGGCGGGGGGGCGGAAACATTATTCTCCAGCTGTGAGATACAATAACATCGTAGTTCAATAGGTCGTGCGGACGGCTGTGCAGCTGAGGAAGCCGTACATTCTGTCTTTGTTTGAGATTTTCAGTGAAGTAGAAAATGTCACACGTGTAAAGCTGTAATTTTAAAGATGCTTCGTTTCCTTTTTTCTCAGAACGTAACCTCATACCTTGGAGTCAGTGTTTACTGATGTTATTCCCTGTGCTCCAGGTTTTCCACGCAGCCTTTTACTGTCTCTAATTTCACATATATCTCAGGCTGCTGTCAGTACCCGATATGCAACAGTATACATCTGTTAATAATGCAACGCGTGTCCTTCTAATGGGCCTCCACCCAGCTGCAGTTAACAATACAATATTGTAGTATTCACATCTATGGACACAACATGAAGTGACTTTCAAGGACACGGTATTGTGCTCTGCTTTATATGCACCAGCATTGACAGCATACAGTACGAGCCACCTGCCAGTTGTCTGTGTGTGTGTGTGTGTGTGTTCCTGAATCTCAGGTGTAAATCTCCTGATGGACATCTGGAGAAAAAAAAAACCTGCAGCTCAAACACTGTCGCCCTTTTTGAATTTCAGCCTCTCCTGACTGTCATCCCTTCTTCTTAATTCTTAATCACGGTAATCATCTGATGGAGAGCGACGCTCACTTGTCTTTAATACTGATATGTTAATGTAATTAGAGAGGAGTCGTTGAGCAGCCAGTAATTGGTGCAGGGTTGCTTCAGAGCTGCTCCGTGACCAATGGGATGTGGGCGTAAAACTCACACCGAGCAAAGAAAAAAAAAACTATGACATTACTTAAGCTGTAGGTTTATTCATTTAACCAAGTGTAATCTTTGTGACATTGTAGTTTTTATTTTGGAATATTTTTGGATCCACTTGTTGATTCAGTGGCTGTGGAGCATTTGCATTTGTAAAATACTTGTTTGAAATTGCATTATCATTCATCACATAATTATATCACGGCGCGACGGCATGCATATACTTCACAGAGCAGTTCAACATTCACAGAGAATAAAAGTGAAATCTTAAACATGTTGCATCGGTGACCAGAACTGTAGTAAATGCACATTCTCATATTAGTTCCAGATCCTTCAAAAAAATAATTGGTCTATTTTGACAAAGTCTGAGTGTGGATGGTGTGTATGAGTGTAACGACAGCTGGCAAACTAATAGTTAAGGTCATGTCGTATTTTTGCTCTAAACTTGAAAATTGAAATCTGCCCATACAGTGTTATTGCCCAATTCTCTAAAAATAGGAAAATGACGCCTCTTGTGTTAAGGTCAAGAAGTATCTGCACTGGTACTTGGTATCGGCCAGTACCCAGATAAAAATACTCGTACTCATCAGTTTGTAAAAAAAAAAACCCTAAAATGTTTTTCAAAATTACAAATATGTCCTGTTAAAGTAAGTCAAACTGACAGGTGATGATGTAAACATCTGCTTCTTTTCCATTACAAACAGCAATTAGTTTTCATTTAACCTTGGCTGATGCTAACAGTGAGTTCCGTCTCTCTCTGATCATGCTTTGTCCTCCGTCCCCAGCACACCTGTACAAGTGCTACGCTCTGAGGGACAGCTGTGGGATGTGTTTGAAGGCGAACCCCAGGTTCGAGTGCGGCTGGTGTGTTCAGGAGAAGAAGTGCTCGCTGCGACAGGAGTGTACTCCTGTGGAGAGCACTTGGATGCATGCCACCACAGGAAACAGCCGCTGTGCACACCCCAAGATTATCAAGGTAAAGTGTTGGTACAAATGTCACCCACTCATACTTGGAACAAAGAAACTGAGCCGCTTCATTTCAGTTTTGTAAAATAATATTTATGGGTCTTTGTCTACGTTTGGAGGAACGTGATATTGGAAATAAAACGTTGTGTCGTTGACGTATACGATAACAACCAGTGGTCTGTGAGGCTGAGGCATCAAAAGAGCGGCTGAATTCAAGTCAAAGAATCACTCTACTGTGCTAAACCAGTTACTTTTGTAGATATTTGGTATTCATGTCTTAGCAACCCAATGTCAGAAAGCCAAACGTGTAAGATTTCTGTCAGTGCAGAGGTCAGAAAAGAAGGAGTTCAAATAACAGTTTAGCCTTTGGAACACACGGCTGAGTCCATCGTGTTCAGCAAAGAGGAAATATTTGAGCTGCAACACAAATCAAATTCATTTTTATTAAAAAATGTATTTTAGAAAAAAATGTTGTGGAAGGAGACACGAGAGGAGGGAATGTAGGGAGGATAGACAACTTAGAGCCATCACCATGACTGCAACCACAACACAGATGGGTCGGCCAGGAGGGGGCAGTTCACACACACCAAGACTGAACACACTGACATGATTAGAGATGATGGCCGCACACACACAAACACAGGCACACCTGTGGAGGCAGAGTGTGTGTGTGTGTGTGTGTGTGTCTGCAGCGTGCCTGCATGTGTATGTACAGTATGTGTGTTAGTGGTGGGAACACGAAGGACTGGGGACGTTTGCTAATTGTGTCCCACCATGGGTGCACGTGTGTCCGAGCGCTTCTGACAAGTCAGGTGACCCAGGGCGTCTAACCACCGTGGCTTATCCATCTGCTGCCACCAGTGGCTAAAGCAGCGGTCTTCATGTGGGTGTGACCTGGGTCAGCAACTCTGGAGTTCACCACACGGACTGACACGCACGCACGCTCACACACACAGCGGGGTTTGAAAGGCGTCCACTGCTTCTCCAGGCTCGTCTAGACGTTTGAGCCTTTCACTCCGTCTGCCTGTCTTCTTCTTCTTCTTCTTCTTCTTCTTCTTCTTCTTCTTCTTCTTCTTCTTCTTCTTCTTCTTCTTCTTCTTCTTCTTCTTCTTCTTCTTCTTCTTCTTCTTCTTCTTCTTCTTCTTCTTCTTCTTCTTCTTCTTCTTCTTCTTCTTCTTCTTCTTCTTCTTCTTCTTCTTCTTCTTCTTCTTCTTCTTCTTCTTCTTCTTCTTCTTCTTCTTCTTCTTCTTCTTCTTCTTCTTCTTCTTCTTCTTCTTCTTCTTCTTCTTCTTCTTCTTCTTCTTCTTCTTCTTCTTCTTCTTCTTCTCTCTCCATCCTTCATTTGGATTGTTTGTCAAACAGCACCCCCCCACCCCCCCCACATGTCACTCCAGTTCAGTTATCTCTTCAAAACCAGCATATAAAAGCAGCAGGGCTCTGTGTGATGGTATGAGGGATGTGGGTTCATGGTATATGAAAATGCGAGGTGTGAACGTGAGTGTGTGCACGTGTTAAGCTGCATTCAGGACCGAGGGGTAAATCCTAGCCCTGGGGCAGGGATTTCTGTGCCAGTAAAATAAGGCGATGTAGAGAAGCTTTTAAAAACAGCAGGAGGGGAAGTTTGCTAAAGAACACAGACAGAACAGAGACGTACAGGAAGTGTTATCAGCTTACCTCTCCGCCGCTGACATTTACAGTGTGACATTTAATGCCACTGAACATCTGCTGGTGACAATGACAGTAGCCCCCTATTTTCCAGTCCTTTTTCTTAACATCCATCCAATCAATCCCCCCTTCTCCCTTTGATCCCTTCTCTTTTATTCTGTTCATTCTCCCTTTTTAAGACCAGTTTGTTTTTCTTTGAAGCAGCCTAGCCTCTGTGTGCGGCCATCAGTCAGTGGATTAGCCACTAATTTAATTCGGGACGCCGAACGTTGGCCAGCAGAAGCGGATTTTAGACAAATATACACAAACATACATATGAACATATATACATATGTATACACATATATTCACGTGTGCAACTGGATGTTGTTACGCTAATAGCTTTAGCTGCTAAAATTTTAAATCTGGTCTTAAATTTGCCGTTATAAACAATTAACATATTTTACCTCAGTGCAGTAAGATTGATAATACTAAAACAAATCTTTAAATACTGTTTAAAGTAAATCAGACTTAAAATTTGTTTTTTTTTTGCTGTTAAAGTAAAATCAAACTAAGACTCAGAGTCGCATCAACGATGACTTTCAAACACCCACGTACACAGTTTGTGGTTGTGATGTCTGTAGCAGTGTCCTCGCTCTGGCCTTGGATGCTGCGTGGCCCTCCATCATCCATCATCGTCTGCCTGCTTCTCCTAGGGGACAGGAAGTGCATTACAGGCAGCCCTTAGAAACCAATTAAAACAACACAGGCTGTGTCTGTGAGTGTATGTTGTTGGGGGAGGACGTGGGGGGAGGAGGGTGGGGGTCATCTTAGCATGTGGCATATCAATGCAATCTGGGTATTTGTAATGACATCCATACAAGATGAATATGTGTGCACTGTCATTCTGTCTTTTGTCCACTTGTCCTCTGTCTGTCCTTCACCTCATAACAAACCGTTGAGATTTAGTACCACCTCATCATACTAAGAGAAAGTTGTTTTTTTTTTTTCTTGTGTGAATTTAAACGTTAATATATTTTTTACCATCTCCTCGTAAGTTACTCAAAAGCTGTTACCTGATTTATTTCCTCCTCCTTTCTTTCTCTCCCCGTCGTCCCCGGCTCATGCTGTCATTTTGTTGCAGCTCAGTTGTCGCCAAAAAAGGCCTCACACGAAGACAGTGACACGACGGGAAAAGTCCAAGACAAACAGAAGGCGGGGAGAAACTGGGTGTTGAGCACCGTCACAGAGAAAACAGAATAGATTTAGACAGAATTAGTTTGGAGGGCGGGGGAGAGGAGAGTTGGGAATTATTTTTTCAATTCTGGCTTTTAGGAAACATGTAGTTAGGTTCATTATCAAGGAGAAGAAGAGTAAATTAAAAAGAGACAAGCTCAGAGAGGAAGAGATATAAAGGGCACAGGAAGGAGGAGTGTTGATGACCAGAAGTCTGGCTGGTGTAAGAATAAAAACATTCCTTAATCACTGTGGCATTTCACTCTGGCCTGGGTGACACTTGGCTTTGTTCCTATTGTGTCCGGAAATCCTGTGGCTTTATACCAGGCTGCCACCTATTGTATTAATATGTCACATCATTGTCAGACTTTAGGCACAGACACTGAGTTTATATTCACTCGAAACAATAATTAAACGGTTTATAATAAAATATAATTTACTTTTTTTACCATTATTTACTTTTTGTGTGTATTGTTGCTCACACTTTGGTTTGTGTGTATGAGCCAAAAAAAAAAAAAAAACATTTCTCTGAGCTATTTTTATTCCTCTTTTTCACAGTTATAAATTGTTTCAAGTCCGTTGGGTGTTCTCACTTCTGAAGTTGGGTAATTTGTTACTTTGAAAACCAGGTCATACCCTTATTTATTGCAGCAGCTTTTTTGAGGGGATTCGAGAATCAGTGCTTTCAGTGAATTTGCCAGCGCAGGGAAACGGAGTGAACAGGAAACTACGACGTAAAGTTCAACAATGACCTGGTTTGACAAACTATTAAAATGTTTCAGCCAATTATAAATTGTCTGGACAGTTCTGATCTTTACATTGATAAATAATGGTGGACATCATTCTGTCCTTTGTCACATGGTCTGATGACAGTTGACACCAGTTGACTTCCCCTTAAAACTGTTTTCCTTTTCTAAGGGTTTGTAAAACCATACTACTGTACTTTGGTTTTATATTTAAAGTTATATTCATCAGGCAAAAGAAAATATAAAACTTTTGCTGTGTTTAAATTGACAAAGGTATATTTGTTTCTAATATGTGCCATTTGAAAATATATATATATTCAAAAGACCTTCAGATCTTCAGTTCCTCGTCAGAGATTTGTGATGCTTCTCTTCATAAAGTCATTTTTGGTGAAAACTGTCCTTGCCAGTCATGCTGCCTTAAAAGAGGTGCTAAATTACATCTCACATTCTCTGACAAAACTTTTGACAAAATATTCAGTCTTAGAAGTACCTTGATTTTAACAAACCCCCCCAACATCACACATACTCCTTTTAGCACCTTTGTTGATAAAAGTCTTAACTCTCCACTGCATCGTTGGCAAACAAAAATATTTGTTATTATATAAAATATATTTTATTTAACTCATTTATTTTCATTTCTTTTCTGCAAGTAATCTGCAAAACACTTCTGTTCTTACAATGTACCAACACTTCTATTCACATCTTTGTACATTACAGTATGACCTTGTGGAAAGCTCACCCTCCCACACTCACCCACCAACGTCTCACCCCGTTAACACCACTTCCTCCCCACTTCTCTGCCAGGTTTTAATCCAATTAGCATTAGCCCTAATTATGTTCATAATGACTGATTACCGAAGAGGCCATTGTCTGCGTTGGGGCTGTATGAATGGGGCCACCATTAGCTGCTAGCCTAGCGTTGGATAGCTGTTAGGACCTCGGCACACCTTGGACAGGCTCGAAGGGGGAAAAAAAACAGAAGAGAAGCAGAGGTCAATGTGTGAAGTAATTGTATGGAGTAGATTAATTGTAGCAAGGTTAAATGAGCATTGTAAGTTAGGGCTTGATGGCTAGGTCTAGGTTAAGTGCACTGGTTGGCAGGCACTGAATGTTTGACTGAGTTGAGGTGGAGTTAATGGATCCCAGGTCATTTTTCATCTTACTTAATGAGGTGACAAGTGTCTGGTTCAGGCAGAAAAGCACGACATGAGCGTAATGACTGGAGCGAGCTATTGTTCACGGCTACATGCATTATATATATATGTGTGTTCACTGATGGATGGCCTCAGCTAAAAGTTGATCGTCAGACAAGTGGTCCTGGCTAACGTTTGTCCTCTTTCGTCTCCACCTCCACACAGCTCTCTCCAGAGACGGGGCCCAGACAGGGAGGGACCATGCTGACCATCACGGGCGAGAACCTGGGTCTGCAGTTCAAAGACATCCAGAATGGAGTCCGAATTGGCAAAGTGACCTGCATCCCCCAGGAGGATCAATACATCAGCGCCGAACAGTACGTTGACACCATCTCTGGCCTCATCTCTCCACTTCTAACCCTCTGCCTCTAACACTCCACCTGCCTCTTTACTTTTGCCAATACCAGTGTGACCCAGCACAGAGTGCAACCATAAGTCTCTCCCTGTGTCTCTCTAACTGGAACATTTAGAGCCGGCGTGTCAAACTCATTGTGGTTCAGGGGCTGCACCAGTACCATCGTAACAAAATGACCTGGAAATAACAATAAGTCCATGGTTTTCCCCTTTGTTTTCATGCAAAGAAGTATATTTGACAATTCTTAATTATATGTAATTTTTATTTGTATTAATATAGATTTTTTCTAACATGAAATATGCTTTTTTATTTTTTAAATTCATCATGCGAGCCAGATTGAAACGCCAATCGGGCTGGTCTTGGCCCGCGGGCCGGATGTTTGACACCCCTGATTTAGAGGCTTTACTCAGCTGTGGACATTTCAAATGGTTTATTTATGTTTAATGCGTTCTGGATCCTCTGCTTCATTATTTATTCCTATTTAAAAACTACACCGTGATGAAAAAAATATAATTTCTGCGACAGTCGTTGATAATACTGTCTCTAAGCGCTCTCATGGGTTCCAGGCTCTGTTGATTAAATGGGATGTTTTGTCCTAATTGTAAATGGGTTGCTGCATTTCAATAGGTATTCATGTAAGGTATTATAGGAATCTTCCATTAGGATTCCTATTCAGAAATAACAACAGTGACAACCAGCGGTGTGGTGTGACACTGGTGTCTCCTTATTACAGCTGACAAGGAGTCTTCTCTCTCCTCCTGCTATTTTAGTGGAACTATTGAATGAGTCACACTCTATTTTATGTTGACTTCACAGCGAAACAAAGACACAATTTAGGTCGGGGAAAATATTTAGGACACTCAGCGCGGCTGGAGGTGTCCTCAATATCCCGTTACCGACGACGACGTAACTGTCGTTTGTAGCCAAAAAACTCCGTTTGCTGAGTTATGTAGCGCAGCCGCAGCAGATGCTGTTCTCCCTCTGCCCTCGCACCAAGACGGGAGCAGCAGAAGTGTGACACCGTGGGTTTGACAGGCGGGACAACGGAACACTGCAGCTCTCACCAGCAGTGGCAGGTTTTCTCCAAACCGTGTTTATAGGAATGACAGGAACATGTCAGCTCCTGTGGTACACTTTATGTCATTATAAGACTGAGAAGAATCACACGATTTTAAACATCAGCTGCATCAGGTTTTTTTGCACACATT